CATATCGACATATGTCAATCACTAATTAAGTATGTTAATGCAGGCCAGATATTATGTTAATGCTAGTCAGCTGACATGGTAATGCTGATCAGAAATTTTATTTTGAATCATATTAAAAATCACTCTCTACTTGGAAGGCTTTCGTACTAAGTTAACTTTTTTAATCACTCTAAGTGAACTTGTTCCTCTGATTTTTCTGGTCTAATGGTGATAAAATTATTAGATCGGCCCAATAGAACCATAGCCGTTGTCCAATTTTCGGAAGGCCATATCTCCGGTTTTACTTAGCAGATTTTAAATAATCTCACATAATTAGAACTAGAAGACCAGGAGAATAAGTTTTCTTAGAATGTTAAGGTTTTGGTACGTGTGACATTGACATTTTGAAGACGATACAGGGATAGTTATGCAAATATCACTAATCATGTTTTGATCATTATGTGTGATAAAATCGAATTTTGTTACATATTGAGATTATTTTGACCAAAAACAGTGAATACAATGAAGTTATATTGTAGATCATTTTGGCCAAAAACAATAAATCCAATGATTTCTAATTAGCCATTTTGAAGTTACTGTGATTCACAAATTTAGCGTAGATCCCATTTTTTTTTGCGTATCGTACGTTGTAAAAGTGCTGATAATGCACTGGGTCTAGATAATACAACTATACACTACTAAAACTAACTAAACTCCTCTAACCTGAACACCACAACTAATAAAACCAAACCCTGATAGTGGCAAGGAAACGATCGAGGCGTGGAAAGACTTAGTCTGAGTAGCTAGGGTGAATTGGATTCTTAGCGATAGTGTCAGATTAGATCTCGAAATTACGTCATGAATCACAGAATAACGGGATTTGGTCACTAATTTTTACATATTAGAGGGGAATTAGTAAAGCAACACTTTTTAATGTTGAACTCCGATCGAGTTAATATTTATTCAAAGAGAAATGTATTCGCTTATATACATATTTTTACATAGTAATAATATATCCAATATATCGCTGATATCTAATATATCGCTAATATCTAATATCTTTGTTATCTCTGTTATTTCTATTATCTCTATTATCTTGGTTATCCTCATTATCCGAGAAATAACTGTTATATCGCTAATAACTGGGATAGCGAAGATCTTTAGAATCACAGAGATCACAAGAATTTTCGTAATTCCAAGGATTTCTGGGACTTGCGTTACTAAGTTCTGTGGCGATCAACAACTCAATTTCACTTTCACAACGTACGTACAAAATCATGCGATACATGCAGTTTGCGATAAATATGAAAATCCCAGATATATTTTAAATGTGTCTTTTCTCTGACATAACGATAAATCATCCAATTATCATTCCCATTCTTAGCTGAAGTTTGACTTGAACTAATCAAGAACAATTCTAACAGAATTTTATATCTTGCTGCCTTTAAGAAAAGTTGTCCTAATTTAGGTTAGGCTTGGATTGATTTATAGTTAATGTTTGCCAGTGGCAAATTGTTGGCGAATTCTACCAAAACAAATCAATCCAAATGGCCGAATATTGTCTATTATTGAGAAATACAAGGTTTGGCCGCGCAATGTTAATTGTCGTTTTGCATAACTCGTCGTCCATTTTTTTCAATTTTCAAAATTTTTTAAGTCCCAATTATGCCAATTAGTGGTTGTTCTGAAACTAGTAGGGTTATTGATTTGTATTCTTATTCAGAAAGACAATTAAGAAACAAAGAGACTAAAAAATTTATGTAGCAGATTATGCTAATGAAAGTTATAAATAATTAAAAGTAATGAAGAATAGTTATATCAAAAAACAAGGAAAATTTGGCATAAAAAATCACTTGACAAATGATTTTACAATGAAATTATCAAAGATAAGTAGATAGATAGAGATATTTTGAATGGGTCTGTGAGAATTAATTGCAATCTTAGTTTTTTTTTAATTTGTTTCTTAGATAGTTATATGATTAATTTTAGGGTTCGGAATGGGCCGGGTCGGGCTAGGCCCAAGCCCGGCCCATTAATTTATAAACCCGGCCCAGATCCAGCCCAATAAAAAATTTAGAGTATGGGCTAAGCCGGGATTACTTTAAAGCCTAGCCCGGTCTAGCCCAATAAAAAAAAATTAGAGTATGGGCCCGGTCAATTTATTTAAAAACCTGGCCCAATGAATTATTGGCCCAGCCCGGCCCGGCCCATTGAATTATAGGCCCAACCCGGCCCATATTATAGGCCCGGTCCGGCCCATACTTGGCCACGCTTATTAGGCCAGTGTTATGGTCAAATTTTTTTAGTGCCATAGTTTATTGTACCAGGAACGTAGCAGGAATTACAAAGTGTATAGTTAATTGCTATCCATGAACTTGATTGGGCTCAATTTGTGATTCATAATGTTTTGGAATATGTATATTCGTATTATTAATGTAATATAGAAATCAATTTAGATTTGGTATATAAATATTAAACCTTTTAATAATAAGTAAATTAATAAATGAACTAAATGAAATAGTTAAAATAAGATAAAATAAGTAAACATACCATTATTTGCGCAAATAGTACTCCTCTTGTTGAAATACTTATTTGCTATCAACATTGTCAAATTAAATGGCAAATTATCAATTCCGGGGGCACTAATCAATTTTTGAGGGCTAAGAATCCGGGATTTTATGTTCAAAAGAACTCATATGTCGTGCAACAACTCTAGTTATAATACACTTTGTATATATTTCTTAAAGTCAAAATCCGAAGCATATATTATTAAAGTTTAGTTGGGTGATTTTAGGCTTAGTGTGGATTACAGACCTCAATAAGAGCAAATAGCCCTCAGACAGATAGAAACCACTAGTGAGGTTCAGAATCCCTTGAATTGCCTATTATAATAAAAATTATTATGGCACTTAACTAGCAGAAATTAACCTTTCATAGCTTCCGAAATTAATTTTCATATTTGCCAAAATTATTACGAATCTTTCCTCAAAATACATTATATAGCATAGTTACTTTGAAGATTTCCTATAAAAATGTATCCATAATAAAGTGTTTGTTGAAAATACTTTTTTCCAAAAAATGATTTAAGCACATCTATATTCCAGAGCAAGATAAAATAATACAACTCTCACATTAATAAAGAGGATATCTATTGTATAAAATAATAGTGTACTTTAACTATAAAGAGAATATCTATTATATAAAGTAATAATGTACTTTAACCTTTACCTACCAACTTATTACACTTATTAATAATCAACTTCCAAACCTGAATTTCTTATAAACATCTATTTGCATAATTATGTTACGCTTGCAGTTAATTTGTCATGCATAAGTATTATTCTCTCTATACCAAGTGTAACACCAGGTAAGTTTGCAATTTGATGGGCCAGAATAGATCAATTTTGCATTCAAGAAATTAGGTTTTGTCAATCATTGTAGTACAATAAAAAATTTTAAAATTCATTGTTAGGATTAGCGTTTAGAATGAAGTTTGATTTATAGTAAAATAACTTAAGAAAAACTTTTCATTAGAATATTAAAAGTGGTTTTTATACTGATTCTTGAGAAATAAGCGATTTTGGACAAAATGAGCATTTGTTTTAAAATTTCCTAATCGTGTTATGTTATACCTGATTCTTGAAATCTGATTTGACCTGGCTCAGATTTATCATTTAAATAGCAATAGGCTAAGAAATGACTGTTAGGAATTTTATAATCAAGTTTAATATTTTAATTATTATTAAAATTTTGGCTCTTATTTATACACATCTAATTAATGAATTAATGAGAGATTTAGCACCAATCGGAAAACCATCAATTTAGCTTGGCAAATGCATATAACCTTGTTTGTACAATAAATTGTACAGAAAAAAAAACTGCATAAAAAAAGGAATCATATAGAAAAAATCTGTCAGGAAAGAATTGCGAGAAGAAAAAACTGCAAAATTAATTTTAGTTCCACTTTTCTATACTATTTAGCCAATCTTGACTACATATCAAGATTTCAATTGACTCCAGGCTAAGATTTGACTGATAATCATCAACAATTCTTCCAGCTGTACTAAATATCTAAATATAAAGTATAGATAAGCTATTATAGAGAAAATAAATTGAACTTAAAGATTAATTTACTTACTGCTTCAGATGCTACTGAAGTTATTAGAATCGCAAGGATATCCTTTGCCATTAATGAAATAGAAGAATATCTCAACGAATTTGTCTTCCACCAAACTAGAATATCAAATGACTCTGAATGAGAGCGAGGCGAAAGTGGATCAGAAAGATATTGCTTAAGTTTATTGAATTCATTCACAACTTGAGTATTATTAGCATTAAGAAAAGCATCAAAATTGTCTATTTCTTTATTGTGTAAAACATCTGAAAAGTCATCTGGCGTTACTTTATGCTGCATATAAATCGAACTATAAATTGTTTTAATCCTAAAATAATAGATAATTATTAAAAAATAATCTCTTGCAAGAAAGATGATCTACTTTATGCTGTAAAACATTTTATTAAAAGGATTATCTATGATGCAAGAGATTTGAAAAAATAATAGTGTGTGAGATAAGCTAAAAAGTTTTGTCTTGACAAAATTCGAAAAAAATAATACTCTTACCTTGATTTAATTGAAACCAACTTTTTCTCTGCTTTGATATATGAGAAGTTCATTTTTTCCTTATATTGATAAGTTAGCAATGACATTTTGTAATGTGGATCTAATACCAATGCAATACAATACATTTTGATCATTTCTCCCAATATTTATTAAATTTAGATTGCATTGGCTTGAGCATTTGAAAAAGAAAAAAATCTGAATTAGTATTATTTCATTCTAGATGCACTTTAATTTTTAACAATTAAAGAAGAATATATTTGCTGTGTAGTAGGTGCTTCCTGATAAAATATTAGTAACTGTATTGAAGTCATAATTAGATTAATTTGCACTCATATCAAATTATTTAAAAAATTAATGTTGCTATACTTACTATCATAAAATGGGTTTAAAAAAATACAAAGGCTTTCTGCTTTTTCTCAGTCATCATCTAAAGATGCGATTGGCTCAAAACTAGTATCTTAGCATACAAGACGCTCAAATATATTTCTATATAGAATGGTGGAAGCCAACATTATATATGTTGAATTCTAACAAGTGATCATATCAAGAGCTGGTCTCTGGCTTGAAACAAGTTCTTTACAAATCTCCATAACATAATCTTCGAAGATTTGCTAACGATGTTGTGAACTGTGAATCTAATTTACACAACCTCAGATCTATAATATTAATAGAGAGTATATCAACTCTTTTAAATCGGACCTATTGTTGAATCCTATTTTCAAACTTAAATGCCAGGTAATGTTAGTTATTAATGAGAATATGCTTTTTTTATCAAGCCAAATGCATTATTTTTATTCATGACAATGTCATTTGTCTATCAAAATTACAATTTTCAAATGCAAGCAAATGCCATTTTTTTATCCTGATATGTGCTGATAATATCTTTATAAAAAAAATGACCAAGATTGTACTGTTTGGCAATAAGGTATTCAATACTGCAATAGTAGTTAGCCTTGAAGTGGTATATAGTAGTGGTTAAAGTTGAATATCATGAAATTTTATCTAATTATTTAGCGTTAGAAATTCCTATTTTAAAAACAAATTAAAATTATTACTTTTTTGCCAGTATTATCTAAAGTGGTGTAGATTTTTATAATATATATTTTTATTAAATCAACTTTTAGAGCAAATTAGGTTTTAGGTAATTATATATAAGCAAAATTGCCTTCTTAACATTTTTAATTAACCCATCCAAGTTAGGTTTAGGCTATGGTTTTTGTATTTTTGGGGCTTTTCACTTTTATTTTTTGTTTTGCTTTGCTGGTTTATTAATTATTTGTCACATGACTCTACTTACCAACCTCTCCAGTATCCGTAATATAATCAGATTCAATTACTTTTTTTTGGTCTCGAGTTGTGCCTATAGCACATTAATATTTAAAAAGGCTGTTATATAAATGATGTCTTATGGCATTAATTAGCAAATAAATTCAAAAACTGCATATAGATGCATAAATAAAGTGAAAACAATAATATATAAATTCATAACTCATAATTAAAGTAAAGAATAAAGCCATAATTAAAAGTAGATCATATGGGGTATTATCAATTAAAACAGCCCTTTTTTGCATGTAAATCATTTTGCATTTCACGGTTCTAGAAATTCCAGAATATAGAAACTTTACAGCAATTGATTTACTATAATCGATCAATAAAATTTTTATTACGTCATACGTATCTTATCGTTCTTCAGTGATTGATTCTTGGCGGGGGTTTTTTTTTAAAAAAAATTTTTTTTTTGTTACTAAATTTTTTTTCATCTTTTAGATGTTTTTTCCGAGTTTCTTCTGGTGCTTTATTAGTAAGTGACCTTTTTTCAGATCTTTCGACATTTCTAGTAAACCTTGTAGACTTTTACTAATCTTGGGTTGAACTTTCTCGTGAATCTTTCTTGTGGATTTCTGATTTTCAATGTTTTTGAAGAACTTTCTTGTAAACTTTTCTCCTGTCTTTCGACGTTTTTGAAGAACTTTCTTGCGGACTTTCTCTTGTCTTTCGGCATTTTTTTTTTTTGGAGAACTTTCTTGTGGGCTTTTCTCTTGTCTTTTCGGCGTTTAGTTGTGGATTTTCCTCTGGTCTTTCGGCATTTTTTGGTGAAACCAGAGGAATGTTCATAAGTTCACCAACCATTTTCTTGTGGATTTCCCTCCGGTCCTTCTGCGTTTTTTTTTGGAGGATTTTTTTGTGGATTTCTCTCTGGTCCTTCGGCATTTTTTTTTTTGGAAAATTCTCTTGTGGATTTCCCTCTGGTCCTTCGGCGTTTTTTTTTAGAAAATTCTCTTGTGAAATCCTTCGGTAGTCTTCTAGTGAATTTTTTGTGGATATTTCAGTGTTTTTTTTTTTTTTTTTTGTGAATTCTCTTGTGGATTTTCTCTGGCCCTTCTGGTGAATTTCCTTCTTGTCTTTCGGCATTTTTTTGGAGGATTCTTTTATGGATTTCACTCTAGCATTTTGGTATTTTTTTTTGGAGAATTCTCTTGTTGGATTTCCCTCTGGTCCTTCGGCGTTTTTTTTTTTTGGAGGATTCTTTTGTGGATTTCCCTCTGGTCCTTCGGCGGTTTTTTTTTGGAGGATTCTTTTGTGGATTTCCCTCTGGTCCTTCATTGTTTTTTTGGAGAATTCTCTTGTGATTTCCCTCTGGCCTTTCGGCGTTTCTTTTTTTGGAGGATTCTTTTGTGGATTTCCCTCGGT